TGCCATGGCTGGCCCGGCCCCCACTGCCGCCCTGGGAGCGGGGCTGGCCCCACCCCCGCCACTCCCCGGGGCCGCGCTATGAGGCGATGCCGCTCTACAAGGAGCGCGTGTGCTACGTGTGCCACCAGCGCGTCAAGATGCTGGAAGGTAGGGGGGAGGGAAAGGGACAGGAGCACCCAGCCCTGGGGGGGGGGGGGGGGGGGGGGTGCGTTTGGGCACCAGCCACAGGAGAGCCAGAGCCAGTTCCCAGAACTGGCCCTGCTTTTTTGTGTCTCAGTGGGCGAGTTTACTGCAGCACGGTGCCTTGCTTCCCCAACTGTAGAGTGGGGGTAATCGCTGTTGTGGCTGCCCCTCCCTGTATTGTGAATATATGAGCTGTGCTACAAGTGATGGAGTCATTGAAATACCATGGAGTGAAGTGTAGAGAAACCTGCCTGAGTGGGCTAGAGGAACAGTCAAGGGGCAACTGCAACACTATGCAATAGTTAGCTCCCACATCAACATAGAACTAGGGCCCTATCAAATCTGTGGCCCTGAAATCTGCATCATGGAGCATGACATCTGGTGTCTTGTGTGTTTTTACTCTGTGCAGATTACATAAGGGAGACCATTGTTTTGAAATTGGGGAGTCTAAGTCAAAAGGGAGGTGCATGGTGCAGTGCTTGCAGAGCCAAGCAACCAGAGCGTGGTAGCTGTTGGTTAGATGCCCGTCGCTGCAGGCAGCACCACAGCAACCCAGAAGTAAGGCTATGTCCACACAGCAGCGTTGTAAATTCAAAATAACAGGCTTCTCAGTACAACTCTAACTCTCATTGTATGAGCAAGGGAAGTCAGCAGAAGAGTGCTCTATTTCAAAATAGCTTATTTCAAATTTTGGCACTGTCTACACAGCAGTTATTTTGACTTAAACTACACAATGTGTGTAGTTCAAGTTACATAGTTTATTTCAAGTTTAGCCCTGCTGTGTAGGCATGCCCTAAGAGGGGCAATAACATACTATATTATCCTTACTTCTGTACTCTGCTGCTAGCCACAGCTGTGCCTTCAGAGGTGGACTTCTGGTGAACAGGTCTGCTTTCTGACTGCTTGGGTCTGAAGGCAGTGCTGTCACCAGCAGCAGAGCAGAAGTAAGGATAGCAATTCTGCAACACCCCCTACAATAACCTTGTGGTCCCCCTCTGTCCCCCAACAACGTTTTTTGTCTCAGGATCCCTAGTTACAACAGCATGAAATTTCAGATTCCAATGAAATTTATGTTTTTAAAAAGCCTGTGACTCAAATTGTAGAGCTCTACCTCATCACAGGTGAAACTAGGGATGTAAAATCCCATTTAACTGGTTAAACATATTGTTTAACTGATTAAAGGGGATGCAAGGGAGGTTCTCCTCCCCCCACGGGCAGAGGCTGCATTGGCTGGGACGTCAGAGCAGTCCCTACCTGCAGTGAGCAGCACCTGACCTCATCAGGATCAAGCTAGGGCTGGTCCAGCATCCTGATCAGAGCAGCCCCTTTCTGTGTTGGCCCCCCACAGGGCTAGAGCAGCTTCCTGCCAGTGGCAGGCAGGGAGCTGGTCCAGCCCCACTGGTTAACCTTAGCCAGTAAGCCTTAGCTGTTGAGTGAGGCTCACCAGTTAACCATTCACATCCTTAGTGGAGACTCCCCCTCATCCTAAAACAGCTCCCATCAAGTAGGCATCTTCAGTTGGCTGGAATGGCTGTAACCTGATTCATGGTGTGGGATATGAGCTCCCCAATCACATCAATTGCACAAAATAGCGATGTGCATAATAGCAATGTGGTGTCCAACCAGTTCTGAAGCAGTAACACTAGCAGTCACAAACTAGCCAACTGCTCAACTGGCCAAATAGCCACATGAGGCTAGCAGCTAGTATGTGCACAATAGGGCTTTAATTTATGTTGAGGGGCTCCAGCTACTAAGACGGTTTTATAGAAATCTAAGAAACTTTGGCAAGGGTATACAGGCTCTCTTTCACTTTGGTGTGGGTGGCAGCATTTAATTTCTGATGAACTGTGCATACAGCAGAATACAAAATTATATTTACATTTAACATGAAGTATAAGATGCAAAGACATTTTTTACCCTCTTCTTCGTTGTGCTACATCTAGTCTCTCATACCTTGTTTCCTTGTAATTTGTAAGCTAATATAGAATTAAAAATGAGTAGACAAAACACTTCTAATCTCTTTAACACCATACAATAATTGTATTTAACTTACATGGTGTTAATGAGGCATCCACGCTTATTTCAGTGTTGTAAAACAGTACATAAATGAAAGTGGTCAGACTATACATAAAATTAATGTTCCTGATAACTTGGTCATGCTGAGATGTATTCTAGATTAGTGGTAGTTTAAGTGCTTTAGATTCAATAGGTAAAAGAGCATTTTTATATTAACTCATTTTCTGGCACTGTTAACACTGCTGAATATCTTCAATAAATATATTTTGATTTGACTTTAAGGAGTAAAGCAAGCACTGTGGCTAACAAAGACAAAGTTAATAGAAGGCTTACCTCTGAAAGTACTTAGTATTACTGATGAACCAGCCAACCAACTAGAGAATCAGGATGATAGAGTACAGAATGCAATCTCTCATGCACGTGTCTGGAATACCACTGAACTTATTCCCAAGAGAGAGAATTATTGGTAAGTCCTGAAAAGCTAAAGAAATCTTTTACACTGCAGCCTCTTAAAGGCAGCTCCGCTTCAAAAAAGCCAGTTAATTAAAAAAAAAAAAAATTACCGGCAGAACACATTTACTGATTAATGCTACTGAGGTGAATTTAGTTTATTTGGTTGCCAGTCTTCACATGTTTATAGTTGTACTTGTGTGTGTATTCAAACCTCGTTTTCATCTTACACATTTTGACATAACAGTTGGTAGGTTTATACAAACTTAATTCTCTTTTAAAGAACATATCACAGCTAATACAGACATCCGTTGTTTTAATGATAAAGTAAACATCACTGCCAACTTGAAATAGGATTGGTATGTCAGATGGATTTAAATATTAAACAAATCTGCATTACCTGTTTGGAAATGTTACATTTCATACTGAATGTTTTATAGCTTAAGTGCATTCATGCACTGGAATACATTGTACATTCTGTACATCTATAACTTTCCAAGTAATTTTGTATCCTATCCTACTAATAATGCTTGTGTCTCATTTTAAAGCCCTATGCTCTTGGAAGACTTGTTACATTTGTGTAGGACAATGACTAGCAAGCATCCTTCCCTTTGTAAAAGAATGTTGGCTAGAGACTACAGATTGGCAGCTACATGGGAGAGAGGTTAGTAACTTTTTTTTTTTTGGTGGCAAACACTTTCTCTCTACTTGTAACCCTGATAGGGAATAATAAAGAAAAATACTAGTTTTAAAGGCAAGGACATGGATAAAATGAAGTTAATACATATGAAACAAAGTCTTAATCTTTTAGCTTTAAATAGTCCGTTAAGCATACTTGATGTAAGATGATTGGTCCCTTGCCTTCAGGAGTTTACTATCTAAACTTTATAGAATATGAAAGACAATGGAACATGATGAAAGAGAATATGAACATTGTTTTCTAAACATCTGTTTACTACAACGTGTGTATGAAATCTGTACAATCTTTCAAAACACACTTAATAAAGGATATGGGACCAATAAGTAGTGAACTGGAGAAATAGAAATGTTCTCTATAAAACTTTGTCTCCAGTTGGGCTCCTACTTAACATTTGATTGGGGGGGAGGGAAAGGTGCCTTGCAAAAATATGGGTTTATTATGCAACAATACCATTGTGACACTTCATGGTTGACTATGCAGTGGTCAGCCTATGGCTTCAATTTTCCATAGAATATTAAACATTAGCAAATGAGACCTAAGTCATCTTTTCCTTTGACTATATATTACAGTAACATTGTTACAGTAGAAGAATAAATCTAACACACAGGCTACGTCTAGACTGGCATGATTTTCTGCAAATTTTTTTAACGGAAAAGTTTTCCGTTAAAAGCATTTGCGGAAAAGAGTGTCTAGATTGGCACGGACGCTTTTCCGCAAAAGCACTTTTTGCAGAAAAGCGCCCATGCCAATCTAGACACGCTTTTCCACAAAAAAGCCCCGATCGCCATTTTCGCGATCGGGGCTTTTTTGTGCAAAACAAATCTGAGCTGTCTACACTGGCCCTTTTGCATAAAAGCTTCGCGCAAAAGGACTTTTGCCTGAACGGGAGCAGCATAGTATTTCTGCAAGAAGCACTGATTTCAGACAGTAGGAAGTCAGTGTTCTTGCGGAAATTCAAGCAGCCAGTGTAGACAGCTGGCAAGTTTTTCCGGAAAAGCGGCTGATTTTCCGGAAAAACTAACCAGTCTAGACACAGCCTTCCAGTGGTAGATTTATTCTAAATTGAGTGAGTCTTTGTAGTATAATGTTTGTATACAATGTAATTTTTTTTATAGAATCATCTCTTCTTCAAGTTCGTGGCATGAATGGAATGCTTCTGAATGCCATGAACCCTTTACCGCCAGTAGCCTCAAAGGATGAGATTCTGGCTACTGAAAACCACATTCTAGAGACCTTCTATCCCGTCTCTCCTACAATTGATCTTCAGGAAGTTAATGTATATGAAGAACGAAATGATATCGGTAAAAGTTGTCTAGCACTTACATAAACTTCAGGCTCAGGTTTACTAGTGGACAGCACTTACATTTTTAACTCTCTCAAACATGTCACGTACTGAGGTTAGACGGTGCACCATTGTTAGAGGATTAACCAGTTGGCTAGTGCTGATATATTGTATCATGTTCTTCACAGCAATAAGTCTCTCAGTAATTATTAAATTGATATTAATGCATGTTAAACAGAAGACTAATTTTGTATTAACTGTGTTTTTTCTCTCATGGTTACTTATACCCCAGGTTTTAGAGAGGGTTATCCCTACCCTCATCCTCATACTCTGTACTTCGTGGAATCAGCCAATATGCGTCCAACCCGATTTAAACCAGAACAGCTCCGAGCTAAAATGCTCATGTTTGCTTTTGGCAATGCCCTGGCAAAGGCTAAGATTCTGTATGGGGTGCGTATTAAAATGACATTAATCTCTCACTACTTCTGTAGTAGGAGTCACTGTTCACATAGGTTATTGTAATGGTATTATGTGAAGGTGCAGTACAATCTCTGGTTGGACACAAATTGCAAATCAGCTGCAAAAAGAAAGTTTTGCCTTTATTTATAAAAAATTGAGAAATGGTGCAGTGATCTCAGATTTGGACTAGAAGGTGAAATATTTGTGCTTTTACTTAACAGTAAAGCTAGGCAGTATCTCTTCCTAATTTCTTTTTAATTCAGGACACACAGCAGGGAGGTTGTGGTTCAGGCTCCCACACTATCCCATCCTTGTGCCATAGTCTTGACCTACAAGGATCAATGCAAGGTGGGAGTGGGTAGTCTAGTTCTTAGCATTGTAGCTGAACTTTCCAAGCAGGCTGCTTTCTGTAATGTGAACACCTCCCCCTTTGAAACTGGAGTGAGACTTGGAGCACTTCAGAGGTCACTAAACAGCCACTTGATGGCAATGACTTAGTCACTGTTGACCTGGATTGAGTTTGAACTTATGACCTTGAGGTGAGAGCCTCTGAATTCTATTAAGGTTGATATTACAATATCTTGAAGTATGCCATATCATCTAGTGACTTCAGAGGCCAGTGATTTATAGTTAACCCTTAAAGACATGTTTTGATTCTTAAAATGTTTGCCAATTCAGAGTAACACTGTTAGACCAATAGCAATTATTTTAATGTGTTCATGAAGGTTAACAGACTCGCAATGCATAGAACTAAGTTGACGCAACTGTCTTGGATGTGGCTGAAATGAAAAACTGTAGCAGACTCAATTCAGTTCACGGTTATAGTCCACTGCTATTTGAAAGAGACATTTCATTAAAATACAAAATCTATATTCTAACCCTGTTTGAGTGACAATTTCTGGGCAAGATAACCCATCTGGTAAAGCCCTAGATTTAAACCAAATGATGATTGCTGATTCTGCTGCTTCTCATCCAATATCTGTGGTAACTCTTTCTTTCTTTCTTCCTTCCTCCCCATCAAGAATGATCCCAAAGTTCTAGAGCACCCGGTAGTAGTACAAAGCATTGGTTCAGAAGGACGCATTTTCCAATTCATGGTGTTTCAGTTAAATACAACAGACTTAGCTTCTAGTGATGGCATTAAAAACCTCGTCTGGATTGATTCTGATCAGTATATGTATGACTACATCCGATATCTTCCAGCAATCAGGAAGAAAGTTGTCAAGGTAAGTTAACGGGTCTGAGAACTAATTTACTCGCCCAGAATGACAGTTGATGGAAATCCTACTCCTTTATATTTGAGCCTTGGCAGCTTTTGGGATACATAGGACAATAGTCTGTTTAGTTCTGATTATAACTTTAGTACTTAATTGTGAGCTATGAATTAAGGTTGAGCAACTTATCAGTTCTATCTATATATTACTGTATTCAGCTATAGAAAGTTTAATATAAATTGCAAAGATTATGCCTGGATGCAGTTGTCAGCTTCAGTATAAAGTAAACTGAGATTGTTACTGTCAACTCTCTTTAGATTAGGGAGCCTCTTTACACTTATGGATAGGGAGTATACCCAATTAGATTCAGTGGAAATAGACAACTGTATCAGACAGCTTTTTTTTCCAGACAGGCTGCCGTGTTTCAAGCTGTCTTCAAGTATAGTGAGACTGTTAACTTAGCTAACTAACAGTTTGTAATAAACTAAATATTCTTCTCCGCAGTATCCTCCTGGAATATATGGCTATCGACCTGAAATATTCAACAAGTTTCTGGCACTGTATTTGCATGGAGCTGTGTAAATTTCTACTCAAATCAAAACACTTGAAGTTCACTTTCCATTGTTGCTTTTCCATCAGAAGATTGTACAGCTGAGCAAATACGATAGCATTCTGCTCTTAAATGGTATTTAAGAGTTTAAATCTTAAGTTTTGAAATTAAAGACATTTTTTAAGCAAATGTGCACACTGTGAAGATACACTTTCATTTCAATGGCCTCACTGTACCATTACTTCATTATACACAAGCATTAAGTTAATGAACCCAGTTACAGTGAGGACTTACCCAATTTTCCACCATCACTAAAAGGTAATATACAACCCAAACTGCCATTTATTTCTTGCTATTTGTAGGCGCAGATTCTGGCTGTAGCAGCCAAGATAGCAGAAATCCATGTAGAGCAGGACCGGAGCACAGAATGTGTTGAGTGGGCACCTGACTCCAAAGCAAACAGAATAAGAAGTTACCAGGTCGCATTGTGCAGAAACCCACCCCATAGAACTTTTAGTGTAAAGGTTTGTGGGACAGTGGGCATTTGAGATCTCTACATATTAGCTTTATTTCTAATATGTTTTGGGATAAATTGGCGCCCAGCTCTTTATTAGTGACTTTAGAATATTATCTTATTACCTCAACATGGAGTCTCTCTGGAGCCAGAGAACTGAAATTCTTCAGGGTACAATCACTGGTGAAGAGTCCTGTAAGCCTGCAAAGGTGTCAACAGTTTCTACTAGTCAAGTGAGGAGAGGGACCAAGCCCTTAGGTTTGAGCTTGGGTAGAGAGCCTGAGTCTCTGCTGGAGCTGCACTATCCATATAGCTTTTTAGTGTGCTAGTTCAAGTCTCTCCATCTGGGCTGGAATACTCACATTGCAGGGCTATAGTAGTAAGTGGCCTTAGAGCACACTTCAAGAATGGTATTAATAAACTGGAGAGGGGTTGGGTGACTTATTAAAAAGATCAGAAAACATGGCTTGAAGGATAGATTGAACTCCTTGAGTCTGTTTAGCTTAAAGAAAAGATTGTGATGACTTACAATCTAGAAGTGCCTATACAAGGAACAAAGATTTAGTAATACAATCTATGTGTAGAGAAAAGGTAGAACAAGCCAATGGCTGGAAGTTGAAGCTAGGCCAATTCAGACTAGGAATAAGTGTAAATTTTTAACAATGAGGGTAATTAGCCAATGGAACAATTTACCAAGGGTTGTGTTGAAATCTCCCTCTGAGAATTGTTCAACAGATTGGATGTTTTTGTAACAGTTTTTCTGTAGGAATTATTTTGGGGAAGTTCTATGGCCTGTTATGCAGGAGCCTGTATCTTTAATGTTCCCTTCGAGCCTTGAAATCAATAAATTCTTACTCAGCAGACACTTAAGAATTTAGATGCTCTTTTACCTTCAGATCAGTCGTCTAACTGAAGGCAGAGAGGCTGGATTGGCTCAGGCCCATGTGTAAGCATTTTCTCACTCCATGTCCTTAGCATGTAGCAGATAATGGATTGCAATATTTTTAAGTCATGGTGCTAAAGGAATTTGAGCATATGTGGGTCTCAAATCTGATACCATTCTCTGCTTCCTTATGTTGATTGGTGCTTTGGCTAAAAATCTCCTATGTGGTCTTTTAATAGAAAACATTAAAGAGCCTTAGCCCCTACTCAAATTGTTCCACTAGCTAAATTCTGGGCCTGCAGCTGTACCCAATAAATCTTAGGGTCAGGTTCTATAAAAATCAAGTTGAAACATTCAATATGCAAAGGAAAAAAATGCAACTGACATACCACAGTTATCAAGATAATATTAATTCTGCTTGCCCAAGAGATGAATAGCTCATCTATTCAAATTGTGTTGGAGTCTATTCTTTGCATGTAATTATATAGGAATAAATCTGGACTAATAGCTGTACAAAAACTGCATGGCTTGTCAGGTGCCAATATATTACTGCTCTAGCTAAGTTATGCATTGGTGGTGTCACGTGGCTCTCAGAACAATTAAAAGTAGTTGGCCTAGAATAGATTGAGCCAATGGCCCTGCTCCCTTAGATTCCTTTCTAGAACAGACACTGCAAAGGAAATGTAACTCAAGTATTGCTGTGAAAGTAGATCCCTTCTTTCCTGATTTATGTGCTAGCATCCTCGAGAGGCTATCCCAAGGGTGGTCAACACCTGTGATTCTATTTGCACTCCCAGGACAGCCATTTTTAACAGTGATGCAGCAGGAAGGTGTGTGACATCAAACACGGTGTCTCCACTGGAGCTGGGAGAGTAACTAGCACTGACACACTCCTGCACCAGGAGCTAGGCTATGGAGTAAAGCCTGGAGGGGGGGTACTATACCACCAGCTTCCAACATGCATGTAGGGCCCGGGCTGCGATTGTGATGAGTGGTGGTAACCTCTGCAGAGCTCAGCAATGGGAAGTTCACTGAGGCAACACTATGAGCAGGCTGTGATTGTGATGAATGGTGGTAACCTCTCTGTAGAGCTCAGCAATGGGAAGTTCACTGAGGCAACACTATGAGCAATGTCTCCTGGCTCTTGCAGCTCGTGCTTTAGACTCCTTCTCTGCTTCAGTGGTGAATGTTTGGGTGTCCTGTGCCATCCCACCCACATCAGCATGGCACACCATAACCTGTAGTGCAGTGTCCTGCTCCAAACCCCTGTCTGACCATAGCTGGCACAGCCCAGGGTTCCAAATGCCCCCAGCATTAGTGCAAGTTCATTCATTCACACACACACACACACACACACACGAAGCAGGCAGGGCAGCATTACAATACAGCTTGGCATGGAGTCTAGAGTCCCACCACGTGGATGGGAGTTTTAAAGTTCATGTGTGTAGGAGAGGCCCACAGGTGGGAGTTAAACAGAAAAATGTGTTTGGTTTGCTTCCCTGACTGGCTCGCTCACAGCTGTGTCAGTGCTAGCTGCTAGTGCCAAGGTTTTACTGAAGTAAGCTGCTAGCTGCCAAAAGGGGGTCTCCCTGCCCCTGAAAAGTCCATTCCATTCACAGCAAAGCATTTCACATGCTTGTGGTATTTGGATAGAGCAGCTTTCAATATACTAGCCAAGTTCTGGGCAAGGTAAAGTCCCTTTGAACTCTTTCACCAACAGGCAAAAGGTTTCTCTCTACAGACACCTTTAGAGCTCTCAATATAGGGACAGCTCCACGTCACAGGATTGCTGCCTCTAAGGGTGATTGCGATAGGGAAAAGAGATGGAGCAGTGCAGGTGAAAATCAGATACCTGCTTGAGTTAGACAGAAGCATGACTTTCTAATGGAAGCAGGTGATTAGATCTTACACACCACAGACAGGCATGAGAGAGAAGGGCAACTTGGAAAGGCAGTAGAAAGAACAGTACCTCAGAGGTTCAATAGGAACCAGATGGAGGTCACAAGATGCTCCAGGGGCCATTTTACAGAAGTGTGCTGTGGAGTAGACCACAATCACACTGTTCTGTAGCACTGCTTCAAGCACAGCTCATCCTTACCTCTGCAAGCCAGGGAAGACGTGCTAGGAGCTTTGTTCTGGCTAACATACTTTGACATCTAGCACAGACGATGCTTAAAGCATGCAAAAGCAATTATTTGGGTTTGGCATTTAGCTAAATATAGGCAGTAATGAGGTGAATGGCATTGTGGAAAGACTGTAAAGGCTCCATGGAGGAATATACTGTCACACAGGGGCCATCAGTGGATGCTGGACCCACTAGGCACAGAGCAGACTGCATTGGACCCAGAGAGCAGGCTAGGTTTTGAGAGCATGGCCTAGGAATATACAAAAAGGCATGTGTATACTCAGTAACTACACGTAATCAGCATTCTCAACATGCTTCTGCTAGCCCCTTGTTTCCCTCGCTTGTGAGCAGAGTCAAATACCTCCTCCGATTTCTACAGTACTGTGACAATTGTAAGGCTGGCCCCTGCAGGGACCAGCCAGAGTGTTTTGTGAAAGGCTTTTCAAGCAGCTCCCACTCATTGATCTCCTGTCTGTTCTGTTTCAACAGGTATTCAGGGCTCAGATAAAACATTTCTCCTGATGAATCCCTCATGCTGTTCATGGGGAGAGTTGTTTCTTAAACAGTATGTTCCCTTGAAGTTTGCCTGATATAAAATCAAACTCTACAGGCTGTGCTATGTAGTATATAGCCAACTCAGTATGGGACTGGAATTCCCACTTGTACATATCCTCCTTGTGCATTTAAATAATGAAAATGAATGTGGGAAGAGAATTAGCCCTCAGCTAGGCCCTAGAGACCATTTATGTGCTGAAGTTGGCAGTTCTGTATTTCAACAAATTAGTGAATAATGCCACAAGAACCCACAGGAAAGCTCTCTCTGCCTCTAGCTATAAAAATACAAGAAACACACAGGTAAGGGCTGTTATTCTTGTCAGATTTTGTCAGCTAAGTAGAGTCATGCCCGAACGGGCACATGCTTGCAAGAGCACAACGCACTAGGAAAGTCTACCATTGGATGGAGAGGATCTGCTGGCTGTGTGTAAGAGTTCACAAGATCATTGCACGCAAGAGGTGGATGTGGGGGGGGCTCGTGCCAGTGGTGAAACTAAGAACTACTGTGCTCACACTTTAGGCATGGCCACCACTCCAAAGCCTGAAGGCTCACCCTGATTTCTTGTGCCAGTGGTGAAACTAGGAACTACTGTGCTCACACTTCAGGCATGGCCACCACTCCAAAGCCTGAAGGCTCACCCTGATTTCTGCAGGTTGGACCAAGAACCTGCTGCACAATATTTCTCCCCTCCCTCCACTTGCTACATGAACTCAGTCAGCCACAAGTCCCTTCTGCTCGTGGGTCAGCACCAATCTTTTGCTATTTGTAAGCTAAATTTTTAGGCAGCACCCTGGACAGAATTAAAACAATCTTGAATGTAAGTCTGCAAAGAATGCACGAGCACAAATAAAATACAGTACTTCTCCCATCGCTAGTGGCTGTGCAGTAAAGGGATAAAAAGCAATGGTAAAAAATTTTTTTTTTTAAATTAACATTTTTTTCTAAAAAATATTTAAAAGGAAATCTGAACTGGTAATACAGTTTAAAGCCTCAATTTACTATAATTTATTAAAATATTTTCAATTCAATAAAAGGAATATTAAGCAGTGTCTATTTGTTGCCAATGTTTAAAGAAAATCAGACCATTGAACTACTGGAAAACACTGGCTCC